AAATTATCCTGAAGAAGGGGTTTATTTCTGTAATACATTTTGCTTTGCAGTGACTGCAGGCCTGACCCTTTTAAGTCTGCAGTAAATGCAGAATAGCTTACTGCAATAAAAGGAGTTCACATTTATTGTAAAGTAAGAATATTCACACTAGCAATCACCGTGGAGTAGATAATGTATTATAATTTCACATTCTTCCTTTTTTTTTTCATGTCTAGCTGACCTTTCTGCAGACAGTAGAAGTATGAGCCTGAAGTGCACTCCATAAAAATATCCCCTAGACTGAGGCATCCAGTCAGCTCTCCAAAGTAATCTGTGTAAAGAGTTTAATGTTCCTTCTTTCTTTCTCTCTCCATATAATGGGAGTAGAAAATCCAGTCTGGTTAGTGACAGGTAGCCCCTCTGCAGATGGAGCCCGCTCTTAATCCAATTTATCAGATGTTTGCAGTAGCATTTGTCCAGGCTTAAGGCTTTGGAGGATGGAGAAGATGGATTTAGAGAAATAAAGCCAGCTGATAGATGGGATCACTTATTAGACATCTTTCATATAAATTATGAAAAATAGCTACAGTGAATTATAGCTGTAGGCTTTCAGATAATAAGCCTTTCAGGAAAAAAATAATGAAACTAAGTGACACTCAGTTCTTAGTCTCATTACCAGGCTGAATCATAATTCAAAGTTCTTTTAAAACTTCCAGGACCATTTGCAAATCTTGATGAAAATGAAACTAAGCTTGATCGTATTTAACCAATTTAAGTGAGTTTTTTTGGCTGCTGCTTTACTCCAGGAATATTTCTTTCCGATAAGTTTCCAGGTTATTTCTGTCTGCAGTCCATTGCCTGCTGCTCTCAGGGTCCAGGGACTGTAATTTTTTTTCCTGTCAGTTTTTGGGCAGTTATCCCTCATCAAAATTGACAGAGCTGGAGAAAAGCCTCCTCTGCCAAGGCAGCACTCCTTGCAAAATCAATAGAAATAACAGAGCAGGCAGAGAACCAGCAGCCTGTATTCTCCTGTTTCCATCCTCCATTCATCCTTGAAATTGGACTTTCCTTGGCTCCCAATACCAACCAGTAGCAGGAACAGTTGACACAGTTGCCTCAATCCTGACACAGCCCAGGCCACAGAGAATCTCCTGAACACCCTCCATTAAGGGGTGTCTTAAGGGAATTTTTGTATGTGCATGTGAAATGCATAAGCTGAAGCCTTGAGGTTTGTTAATGGAGTCAGGTGAAGTTTAGCAGCTGGATAAAAACATCTCCTGCCAGCAAAGTATTGTACAGCGGCAAAGGATGTGGGCGATGAAGGAGTCGTATAAACATGTTGGTTTAGTGCTCTATCATGATTCTTAAAAAATTCAAAAAGGAGGAGGGTAGAAAATAGAGACTATTAACATAGTCCGGCATGGCACTGTGGTGTAGCATGTTCTCATGTCTTTTTTTGGAGGCTGTGACAAGAACAAGCAGAGGTGATGAGTGGCCCTGATATAAGGAATGACTGAATAAACTAGAACTGTGTCATTCAGAGAACAATACCTGAGAGACAGTGTGGTAGGGGATATATATGTTTAGGAGTGACCTAGTCAAAGAGAATAAAAAATTAGTGTTTATGACCTTTTCTAATATTCAACAACTGTAACTAGCAGAATGCACCTACAAAGCAAAGGGAATTGTGCTTAGTTAAGAGTCACTTTCCTTGTAAGAGTAAAATCTTACACAGGTTTAAAAGATTGACCTGATCCAATGCAGCCATTCACATGTTCCCAAATGTTTTTAGTTCTTGTAGTTTAAAAGTCCCATTTTCCCCCTTCTCCATGCATGGTTGAACTCCATTATTCTTTTCCATCTGCTTACATCTGATTTAGATGATGTGTTGCCATTCTTTGCTTGCCTTTGAAACAGTGATGTAATATTGTAATGGAAATTTAGCCCTGTCCCCTGAAAGAACTGTAGCTGAAGTCATTTAGGGATAGAAACCCCAAGATCCTGAAGAGAGTTTGTTACTTTGCAGTAAAGTTGTTTATGGGGTTCCAGTGTCCCTGCTTCATTAGGGTGCACTGGCATGTCAAATATAATTGCATTCAGGTGAGATTTCACTATATAATAAGTATATTGTTTCAAAAAGGGTGCTTTATATCAAGAACACCACCAATGAAGTTATGTAAGGTGTTATGCAGCAACAGTAAGTCTTGCAAAAGTTTGCTCAAGGGTTAATCAACAGCATGATGTGAGATCTTTATAAAAAATTATTATTTATTCACTGTTCTTGTCTTAGAACCCATCGTGTTGCCTCTCAGTGGCGGTCTGAAAAATAAAAACTAGACACGATTCCAGTATGGGGGAACTGGAATAGTTTATTGAACACGAGAACACGATTTTAAAGGTATCTGAGGTTGGACATGTTAATGAAGGGGACGAGTTATGTTAATTATGGAGTTACACAAGTTTTTACTACAATTTCTAAATAGTTAATTTTTCTTCTAGTAGGATTACATGGGGGATAGAGGGATTACAGGGGTTTAGACATGGTCTGATACAATCATCTCAAAAGTCCTTTCTGATTTCTGCTGGAACCAGGCTTAATCCATAAGGTAGAACTTTAACAGGTCTTGTGAGAAGGGTCCAGCTCTTTCAGATCATGAGATGTTTGTCAGCTGAGCTTTCTTTTGCTGAAAGCTGGGTTTGGGCTCCCATACCTCTCGTCCTTCACAGATGTCATATATGTAATATTTCAGAGTTCTGATAGTTCCTGCAAATTCAGATTTTTCTTTTTCATGGTTTAAAAAAGCAAAATTAGGAATCATCCCTTTGTGGACTACAAGGAAGTTGAATATGAGTCAGCAGTGCCCTGGCAGCCAGGAGGGCAAACCATGTCCTGGGGGGCATCAGGCAAAGCATCGCCAGCTGGTCAAGGGAGGGGATTGTCCTGCTCTGCTCTGACCTGGGGCAGCCTCACCTGGAATATTGTGGCACTTTTGGGCACTGCAATATAAGCTGTTAGGGTATTAAAGAGCATCCAAAGGAGGGCAAGGAAGATGGTGATGGGCCTTGATTTGAAGCCGTGTGAGGAGCAGCTGAGGGCACTCGGTGTGTTCAGCTGGAGGAGACTGAGGGGAGACCTCACTGCAGTTACAACTTCCTCAGGAGGGGCAGAGGAGGGGCAGGGACTGAGCTCTGCTCTGGGGGGACCAGGGACAGGACCTGAGGGAATGGCCTGGAGTTGTGTCAGCGGAGGTTTAGGTTGGATTTTGGAAAGAGGTGCTTCCCCCAGAGGGTGGTTGGGCACTGACCAGGCTCCCCAGGGCAGTGGGCACAGCACCAAGTCTGACAGAGTTCAAGAAGCATTTGGATGATGCTCTCAGGCACATGGTGTGACTCTTGGGGCTGGTCCTGGGCAGGGCTGAGGGTTGGACTTGATGATCCTTGTGGGTCCCTTCCAACTCAGCATATTCTGTGAGTCTGTAAACACAGGCATCTCTTGGTAACAGTCAAAGTGTTTTCAAACCTGTAGTTTTTATGAGTTAATACCAAGGACTAAGTGCAGACTTTCCAGGATAAGTTTCAATAGTGCATAAATGTATTTCCAAGTGTAAAATACTGCTGTATCTTGAAATAAAATGCTAACCCATTTTGGCTTTAAACCAAACATACTTTCTGAAACATAATTTTAGCAAAGTGTTAGGAATGTGTGAATTCCTCATTAGTCAGCCAGTATGCAAAACATCACTCTGAAATGACTTTTGTGATTCTTTTAATGGGCACAGTTTTGGTGAGGGAATAGCCCAGTTTGGGTATGAATCAAGAGTGTTTACTAGTAGTCCAATCATGCTGAATTATAGTTAAAGTACTATTTTAAATAATAAGTACTTTGTGGATATAATTATATGACTACTATTGCTCTCCTTTTTTTTTAATAAACATCACTGTTATGAAAATATTCTAATCTAATAACCATAAATTTTCCATTTTAAAGTCCCCAAAATATATTGAAATTATAAGTTGTCAGCTGTGAAAACTAACAGCAATAAGGGACTTTTCCCCCAGATTAACTCAGTTTTGAGTGTTCTGATTACAATATCAACTTTTATCTTCATCTAACTGAACAAGGAGTAAGACAGAAAGAAGAAGAATTTAGGGTCACTTCCAAAGAACTCAGAGTGATGAAACTTTGAGAAGAAAATATTTTCTTAAACAATATTTGATGTGTTTGGGGATTTTGGGCTGAGATTCTATCCCAGACAGTCTTGTCAAAAGCAGGAGTCATTGCACTGAGGTTATACATGTACAGTGTTTAACTGGTACTAAACTAATCTGAGATGACAGACCATTTCCATGCTCTTTCAGAACAGGCCATGCTATTTAGGCAATTAATAAATATTACTTGTCTATAATTTGCTCATAAATGATAAGCAAGGTTGTGTGTGATGCTTTTGCTGATGTCTGGTAAACAGAAATGTGTCCTTCCAATATGGGATGACAGATACAAAGTGAGGAACACACTCATTCCATCTCAGCTGTGAGAGTGTTCCCCATGTTTCATGTGTGTGGGCATTCAGGGGGACCCAGTAGGGGTTTTTTTAATTTTTGTTTTCTTTTTTACTAAGCAGACTTTCTTGTAAAAGCCTGATGACTGAATTATTGCCATTTGTATCTTCATGCTTATTCTGCTTGGGTATCTTACTGAGCAGCGAGGCTTGGATGGAAATTCACTTGAAAATAGCCTTCAGTGTGATAAATATTTGTATTTAGACAGAACCCGGGGAAATCCTTCTGGCCTCTGACAGAGCCCCGAAGGGGAGCTGGCAACTCTAGAGCAAATTAAAGTGTGCAAATCTTCAGCCTTGCTGCAGATCCAGCAAATATGTGCAGTGTAACACAGCAAATACGGGAAGGCTTTTAGTTATGGAGGTGTGTAAATGTTTACAAGTATGATTAACTGCAGAGCACAAAATCCATTTGCAGCATCAAAGACAAAACTAAAATTACTTTTTCCCGCCCCCCTCCAGGATTATGCTGAAAAGAAAAACACGATAGCAAAAGCCCTGGAAGATCTTAAAGCCAACTTCTACTGTGAACTCTGTGACAAGCAGTACTATAAACACCAGGAGTTTGACAATCACATTAACTCTTATGATCATGCTCACAAACAGGTAAGAGGAATCTGCTCGCTACTTCAACTTAGTTTCATGTAGAATAATGAAATAAGATGTCCTGCAGGCAATCACAGTTGTGTTGTCCCCAATTTCAGGTTCTGGGAAGCAAAATAAACCATTTCCTTAGAAACAAATCTTTTCGTGGAGATTCTGCAAAGATTCTGAGATGGGAAGGAAGAGAAATTTGAATAGTTTAACTGTGAAGAGGAATAGGGAATGATGAATAATATGATGAAAAGTGTAAATCTGTAATTTCCTTATCAGTTTAATTTGGCACATAAATACTGGGGTATAACTAAGACATGACTTACTGGGAAACGTTTGTTGCAACAGATGGGCGCAAGAAACTTGACATAGTCTTTGGTAAACTTTCCTGTAGTGCAGATGCAGTTCTGAAATAGGCTATGATTTACTTAAATTTGTGCAGATACAGTTCTGAAATGAGCTAGGATTTTACTTAAATGCATTGCATAAAAAAATCAAAAACCAACTGTGGTAACAAAAAGATTCTGGCTAAGATCACAATAAGATATGTGTTAGCTTTGAAACATTGGCATTTACATTTTTACCACCTCATTTTATCACTGCACTTCCAAGTTGTGTGCCCTAAGATAAAAGCAGTGCTTCCACATAGTGAGAAAGGCAATGCATCCCAGGGCAACATCCTGGTCTGTAGAGGGGTCAAGTCTATGAAATTCAGAGGGAAAGACAATGCATCTTGACTCCACTGAAGAGATATGTAATGATAATGTAAAGATATGTAATAGCTGTACAGGAAATTTCTACTTAGGCCACTTAGCTGGTAATTATTCTGTATCCTTTTTTTTTTTTTTTTCTAATCTGGTGAAATCATATGGTTGTGTATCTGGATTGATTGCTTTCCATTCTAATTGAATCTCCCTTTGTCTTGTAATTCTGCTCAGGGTGAATGTAGACGAGTTGCTACGCATGTTTTATATCTGTATTATATAAGATAATTTGCTTTTCTTTCTGTCAGCCCATCTTCCTGAAACACTTCCCTCCCTCTCTCACTGGTGTTTTTATTTAGCCCATAATTTACACTGTCAGCACATGAGTGTTAGATTTAGGTTTGAGAACCATGGAGATGTGGACCCCAGCAGCAATAGCAATCCATGAGAAGCTGGAGGGAAAGATATATATGTTAGATAAGAAATTAGCAGGTAGCTTCATTGCATCCTACAGCTGCTTATTATGAGTTTTAGTTAAAATAGAGCTAGAACTGGTTCTTCAGGTGTTATGTTCACACAGCAGCAGGTCCTTGATGGATGGCAGGAAAAAAAGAAGCGATGGGCAGAGTCTTCCCCACTTGACCTCACTTAGGATTTTTATTTATTAATTTATAAGTGCTCTGAAGCTTGGAAATAATGAGAACCTGAGGGCTGCAGTCCTCATCCCTCCATTCAGGATGGTTGAAAAATTGATTTTGAAACAGAGGTCAGGTGTGAGACTGATCAAGGGCTTGCTTGCAGTGTTTCACGGGGTAATTCTTGTTTTCTGGTGGTTGTAGACAGGAGATGGTGGGCCCTGCACCAGCATCTGACAGAGCACAGCAGATCCTGCCCCTCTGGTTTTTGTGTGAGGGGTCTGTGTGTGTTTGCAGGTGGCTTTGTGGATGTGTTTGGGGAAACACAAGAAGCCATCTTCTTCCTCTGTAAGGCCTTCACAACTTTAATCTCCTTGGGAGGAAATCAGAGAAAAGTTTTTGGTTTTTCAGTAGAAAAAATTGTGTGGGTGCTTCTCCATCACATTACTGGCAAATAAGACTATTGATTCCTGAGATGAAAATGTTAAATCGAGTTTAACTCTCCTTCAGTATATTTTTGTGGTGGCTTCTACTGGTGTTATGAAAGAAACAGATTCCTCTTCCTGTATTTTGGGTGTAAAAGCTGGCAGGCAGCATATGCTGCAGCACAGGCTCGCTCTGATCTGCTCTGCTTTCAAGGAACTTCGTGCTAAGTGCTTTTTTTTTTGAGTAACCTAATTTAATAAGCCCGATGGAGCCATTTGCAGGTGCTACTGTTGAATGCTCCGATTTTTGTCTTGAGGCTTCCTACCTCAGAAGTTTTCCAGCAGTTCAGTAGGGGTGAGAGGAACTAATAATTCATCTTTGGGTTTTGCTTGGTATTTTTTCTCTTTTTCCCTTCAGTGAAACCTTTCTATAATGATGGATGGGGAAGTACTTGCTAGAAAAAGTTTCCCACGATTGAAGGACAGTTGTAAGCATGTGCAGCCAGTTTGGTTTCAGTGATCCCAGCACCTGAGAGTGGTTCCTATATGATCAAATGGATGAAAGCTCTGCCTAAACCCGAGTTCATCCCAGCTTTTCTGAAAAGGCACATTTAATCCTAATTGTGCTCTCTGTTGTCACACCATCTAAACCATGGGAGGGTTTATCAGAGAAAACATTCCTAACAGCTCCTGTACCTCAATTCTATTGTAGGAGATTATCTTTTCCTTTCCATATATTCAAAAGCACAGAAAATTCACAGGATTTAAACCAGAAGATTTTTAATTTTTCTTCCTTTGGATGGGGGGGCCTTGTGCTGTCAGGTATTGGTTGTGTTTCGATTTGTTGTGTCTTACAGCTCTGAACACCCACTTTGAGACAGTGTGAGGTCCTTCTGAGCAGAAGGATCAGAAAGGAAGCATAGGAGTAGGGGAAAACTAATATTATTTCCCAGGAGTTCACTGTCTCAAGAGCTTCACTGTCTCTGTTGGTGTGTTCTTGTTGTCAGCTTTGACAATATGGTTTGGAGAGCAATAGCTGGAGCCTTTATGAAGTGCTCCTGGAAAAGCAACTTGCAAGCAGTCAGAGGTAATAGGCAGAAATGAACTCTCTGCTTTGCTTTAAAAGCCTAGACAAAGAAAAAAAACGAAACCAAAATAAAATGCAGGTGTACTTTAAAACAAAAATGTCCTCGACATGAGCTCAAGGGAGAAATGTAACAAAGGCAGAATTGCTGTTATTTAATATAGTAATGAGAGAATTTGTGGAGATCAATAAACTAACATGATCCCACGGAGGTGAGAAGCTGGAATAGTTTATTTGGACTCACAAGTTCATATATAAAGGGTTTAGGACCTACATATTCAACAGGGGGGTTGCATATTCATTCTGTTACAATTGGGGACTTTCCAGGGATGAGGTAAAGGTGAAATCCTAAATTACAAACCTTTGGGTCTTAGCACTTACATCATAGGGGAAAACTCACTTTATCTGGGGGGATTTTACAGAGGGGAACAGGTATTGGCTTTTATGCAAAGGTCTGATGAGATCAGGATGTGGATTCTCTGGCTGGGGCAGTTCATGTGATAACATCATGCAAGGAGTCTCTTCCATTCTGCTGGAGAAGGCAGGAAAAATCCACAGTGATGAGGTCATTAAAAGGGGTCTTTCCCCAGCTTTCATAGTTCATGGCTTTTTGCAGAGACTGCTCAAATCCCTCTCTGCAGATATTACATTTTTGAATCCTACAAGAATTACTATGTGATGATGATGATGGTCTAAAATCCTGGGATGCAGATTTTAAGAACCGTGCCAGGACTTTAAAAACATCTCTATGATTTTATTCAGCATTTCTGGAAGTGCACGAGGAGCTCTCTGAACTGCTTTATTCATGCAGGGTGGAAAAAAAAATCCTCGAAATGCTGTGGGTTTGATAAATGTGGCTGAGCATTAAATCTGAGGCTCTGAATGACCTTAGAGCCGCTCGGAGCGGGTGAGTTGTGCTCGTCTGTGCTTGGTGAAGAAGGCTGGGTCCCACAGCTCAGTCCCCTGCATCAGTCATTCCTCAAGAGACTTCTGCCACTACAGGAATAAAGAGGTATTATTTCTGTTTATGAAAGTCTTCCTCTTCATCCCAGAACTTCTGATTAATCACCTAATATCACAGCAGCACACTCTAGAGCTTGGTGCTGTTTCGTCTCCCAGGAGGACTTTTCCAAATATCAAGCAACAATAACAGTGAAAGCTGTGATGAAAAATAAATAGCCCTAATGTATTTGCATCTACATATGAAAATACAATCAATTAAGTAAATTATAAGTAGGAAATTTTCCCCACAGAATCACAGGTCATTTCTCAAACTGTTTCTCCCTGGATGAAAATTATCTCTGTGCTCTAGAAATGTATTTAAAATTGTATGGAGGTAATAACGGACAAATTATGCAGAAAGACTAAATGAGTACTTGTCCCCTTTTCCCTATTCCAGACACTGATTTCTTCTGTGTTTTTCTCCTCTTCTTACATGTTTCTCTTTGCAAATTTTTTGAGATCAATGCCTAATAAGCTAGAGAATATCGATCTGTAGTCAGTCAGAAGTCCAAACTTAACTCACATTTATGTGATTGAATAAATGTTTCGTGCCATATGGGTGGAGAACAAGAAATTTGGAAGTGGAAGGCTGTGGTTAGGCATAACAATAATATAAAAGCCCCATCATTTTAGTAAAGCTACACCTCCCATGAGGTACAAAGTGGATAAGGAACGGTGTAGCACATTTGGGATGCCAGTATTCCCAGCAAACATAATTGGATGTAAGCAGTTGTTTGAGCCTGCAATTTAAAAACAAAGCAACGAATCCTTGTAGTCATCATTACAGCTCTTTTAAAAAAACCTCTCATTGTAGAGTTATTTCCTCTGAAAAAGAAAAACACCCACATCTTCTCCTTGGTTGGCACTTGCAGAGCGATCGCTGCAGTGCATCTGCAGCTTCTGGCATAGCCTAAGAATTTGTATCTGTTTGAAGGGAAATAGCACATGTACTGGGAGAATCCTGAAGTGAAAGAAGTTAACTGCTTGCTGGGAGCCAACAGGATTTTATGCTGGATTTTTCAGGCCTGCTTTTTGCAGGTTGGGTTTCCCCTGGAGCTACTGGAATCAGACTGAGCCAGAGGCAACACGTTGTATGCAATCTTTGAAATGTAGAAGTAATGATTCTCAAAAATAGTGCTGTCTTCTACAGCAGTGTGTCTAG